GTATGAACCTGACCGGTTAGGAAACCACCAAAGTTCTAATGTTCAGTAGCAACGGAAGTTAAATATCATTAAGCTCGATTAACGTTACATTCTGCATAGCTGGCACTCGCACAGTAGGGTGCTCTGGACTGTGTTGTCTTAAAGGCCATATAGTCTGTTTCGACAGACGACGCATCACCACGATAATGCGGCGACCTCAGCATAATTAATGTTCACGCGTTGTTCCAAGGCTAACATTTCAAGGGCAGGTCTTGTTGATGACGATAGATGAATACTCGTACACACTGTTCTATTCTAGCCACCTAAGGTGAATTAGCGGAAGCCATAATAGAAATGCTTGGTCTGTGTACAGCAACTTGTAAGCTGTTCATTAACTGCAAGTGGCCATACTCTATCCCCTAGGTTCAAACAGGGGAGAGGAGCGCATGCTGGCAGATATTCACACTAAACCAAAGAACTAAAGAGTATTCTCACAGAAGCTTCCATTGATATCTTGTACTTTGGTGTAGGTCTGACCAAGTAAGTCACTTTTAAACAGAAATCAGATAAACTGAGCAGCAACTGAAAGCCAAAAGGCCAGAAAACATCAACCCATTATTGCAGAAGAGGTGTGTAGATCAGCATGGACATTGACGCGTATTCATCATCAATGGCAGAGCTTTAGGAGTGGCGCTAAAGTCCTGAGTTGGACAGCACTTTGCCATAGCTGAATCTCATTAGTCCATATATGAACTATCGACCTTCGACAGTCTCTCAATTGCTTAGCCGCGGTGCTATCAATAAAACAGTTGAGCTAACTAAAACTCAGCACCTATCCAACTTTTCTTGCCCCCAATTCTGATGGGTCAACACGTTTGATTCCTTACCTCAAGACACTTTGTCTGTTTATAAAGATACAACACTTAAGTCTAGGCTATTGAACTGAGATCAGACTATCCCGTAGGGATACTTTCTTAACAAATCTGGATTTGGAATATGCAATGGTGCCCGTTGGGGACAGTCATAGAGTATATTTCAGATTCATATTCAAGGGATAGCTCTTACAATATAATGATGTACCGTTTAGGGTAAATTGTGCCCCTCATTGTTCATAAAGTTATTAAAACTATTTCTGGAATAGGTAAAAAAAAACTTGAGCACCCTCAGGCTCAGTATTAAATAGTGACAGAAATAAAGTAACTTTACTTGAGCGGACGATGCAGACATTACTAAACCTAGTAAGGGCAATAATGGACAGCAACCAAGACAGAGTCCAAAACTATGCGGTGAACAACGGGATCTTGCTGTCAGCTTGTCTTTCATTTCGTTTCAGCCGACTCTACACTAACGAGTGAAATGTCTTGCCTTGTAAAATTCTCAAGGGAATTTTAAGGCTACTATGCCAATAACATAATATAACTTAAGGTCCACCTCGGCTGGAGCTCAAAGAAGCTGGCAGATGCGGCCAGATGTATTGAATTATACAATTTTTAGTTGTATAATTTCTCGGACGGGGCACTCGATGGCTGGGGAAGAGTCTCTAGTTTTTGGTCACCTGAGAAGAAGAACCCATATGCTAATCATCAAGAACCACTGGTAGTTTTCTACTATGGTGAATGCTTTGCTACCGAATTGATGGGCTGTCGCATATTATACCCCATCCTATGTCAATAGAATGGACAGCTTCTAGTTTCCACCTCTGGACCAGGTTGCGGGCAATTGTGTAAAGAGAGAAATCTTACTGCCCTTGCGTAAAATATACAATCTAAGCGTATGATACAGATGAGCTTTTACATCAGGACGTGGAAACGGAGTGAGAGCTACGCCTGTCATCGACCCGACTTTGGTTCAAGTATTCGGTGTTTCTGAAATTTCGCCTCTAGAAGTAACGCAATGATCTGATGGAGGGACCCAGGACGCCGCTCCCACTAATTCTGAAGCTTATCCTGGTTATCGTCACTGGAAAGCTGTCATTCCAATCAGCATCGATAATCCATCATGTATTGTGGGTTTAGATTACGGTAGGACCTTTGTCGGGAATAAATACATGTCTGGTTTTCTACCTCGAAATTTCTTACCTTACATATGATAAGCGGTCAAGATATAATTATTTGAGCTATTAGTCTTTTACCCAAAATGTTACTAACGATACAGATATAAGATGGTTTTTGAAGGGCATTTACAGGTTGAATCCATCTCAGCTGAAATATAGATACTGTGGTTATTCTCAACCAACCAAAGGGGTTGCTGGTAAGCTCTGTAGATATTTGAATGAGGAAATCAGCAACGCTGCTAGCTCTAGCAGAGTGTGCAAACTAGTTGAAACAGACAACAGACAACACCCGGATGGGGTTGAATAACATTGAAATTGGGATTTCTCAGTTTTTAAAAGTCTCGGGGTCACTCATGTGGCAACCACTTTTAGTTTTACCGTATTTTACGCCCAAATATCTCTGCAGTCAAAGTATTTATTTGTCATTGTACAGTAACTTTATCATGGTGCCTCCGCTCCCAGATGGATGGAGTCGGTTTTAGCAGAGAGTGTCACATTTGACAACCTACAGTACATGAAATGCGTCTACCTCTCCGCCTGCTAAATTACAGTAGTCTCAGGCGCGCGGCGGGCTGGAGTGCGTTTTCTGAGATATGTCACAAATCTCGTATGCCAAACAATAGCTTTGCTCAAGCGGCATTTGAGGTGAACCAAGTCTCCACACCTTAAATATTACTATGTAATCACGTTATTTGTTTACTACGATGTAACTTGAGTTGTTACAATGGAAATGTACATTGCGTATAATTTGTGTAGTTGTGTACAACTTATCGTTTACTATTGCAGAGCGTTAGTACTATGTTGTTGCAACTAGCTTTGAACATCTACGATATGTATTCTAAATATTTACTTCGACGAGGACGGAACATAATTACGTGATCAAACGAACTTACCTGTAAGTGTTTTTTTATACTCCAACTACCACGAAGGCATAATGCTTAAACACGCATGGGGTACTGTGGGGCTATAGGGGGATACAGGGGAAAGGGGGAACGCCACACTGACTCTGACGGGGGAACACGTGTGCATGCAACATGCACACATTCTGGCCCCGCGAAAACTTCTCCTGGGACGGGATTCGAACCCGCACAGCGCGCAGCGGCTGATCAGGAGACCGAAGAGTCTACTACTGCGGCCACCGCTGCTGCCTGCAGTGATGTTCGATCGTAATTATGTGAAGTCCTCGTCGAAGTAAATAGCTCCCTCTCTCCCTATGTATCACCCAATTGTTGCAACAACTTGGCTTTGAAGTAAATGAAGGTTTATTGGCGGCCAGAGGGGAGAAATGTAGGGGGAAGGGGTGCGGTGCTACTTTCCTTCTCTGCGTGCGCGCTTTGAAATCGTGGCGGTTGGGTACTACTACGAGGTTACTATGATATGTATTCTAAATATTTACTTCGACGAGGACGGAACATAATTAAGATCAAACATCACTTACCGGTGATCATGTAATTATAGCTTAAACTTTTTCAAATATCAAATAATTGCGATAGACGGAAATGCTCCAACAAACAGTACAAGTCGAAAATCCCAAAGGCAGCAATGTTGTGACTTTACAGTGGACCGCAAAAGAGGAAAGGCTTTTAATAAGGTTTCACCTTTAACCCCACTGGAATAAATGATGTTTGTGAACAGTTAAGTACTGCCAGTAATGTCTAGTGCTAGTTTGTTAGTTTTTGCTAATTTTTGCAAGCTATTGAGAAATATAGCCTTATATACTATCATGCGACAAGTAATCATTTTTAAATAATGCTGTCGTCCGGTACTCATAGTGCGCTAGCCTACCGGGGTCATAAATAAGGAAGTGTGGGCAGATGAACCATTCAATTGGCCAGTCTAGGTACTGACAACGAGGAAGGAGTGGTCTAACTTTTCAACAAATACCCGTCATTAGTAGGGTTCAGCATGTCTTCGACTGACCAAACGTCCGATTACAGGGAGAACTTTTACAGCGCAGGACCTTACGCCGACATGTTGCTGACCGAGCCTATTTCACCTCTTGCTGTTTCAGCCGAGTCGTCACCAACGTACCTGTATAGTGCTGTTGAACATGTGGGTGAAAACTACAGTTTTCCAGTTGGAGAAAACCCTTATTCCAACAACTGCTATATGGAAGACAACTGTGTGTATTCAAATCCTTTCACCACTGACACGAAGAGAAGCAAAATAACTTATAGACATAGTATTTTTACTAGTAATACACCTTCCGTATTGAAATGATAGTGGTATTTTTCTTAAAAGATTACGACTGTTTAACTTTCACAAAATCTAGTCAAGTATATAAGCATCTTATACCTTGAAAGAAAATGAAAAAAATTAAATAAGCTCCAAACCAACTAAACAATCATTTTGAGCAAGGTTCAGGACCAAAAAATATAGGCGTACTTCATAATAACAATGCTTATTTCTTCCAGTATCTGGATCTACAATGGACAATCGAGCGGCAATCAAATTTTCCATTGTCGTCCCAAGAGCCTCAAATTATTTTTGAGGAGAAACCGCTCTTGAGTGTCCACATTCCCTATGAATGCTCTGACAGCCAGTGTAAAAAATTGTCAGGTGAGTCAGCACTATAGCGTTAATCAATATAAACATTTATTTCAAATACTATGATTAGTAAACCACGAAAAACTATATATAGAAATTCAAATTTGATAGTAAACAATAAAAATACACGTTGTTATCAACTGGCTGGATTCACCCATACCATAGATGAATTTTCTAAGGTTCCAGTGGACTGGTTGCTGAGATTACGTGAACAAACCCGCGGCAAATAGCTAGAATTTTTATGGTGCAGTCATTACTAATCGCCAAAGAACATATTGTACCAAATGAATAAAATGAGAATTTTATTGAATAATGTACATTGAACATTTATTTGCCAAAAAAGTGTGTTTCCTTAAATATTTTCTCAAATAACAGACTGAAAATCGCCAGCCAAACTAAAAGACGTTTTATTTCTTTCCAGATATGGAAAAGAGTCCAGCACCAACTCCGAGCAGTGCAGTGCCTAATTCGAGCGGAACCCTCAAGCCGAAGCGAGCTAGAACAACTTATACCGCACACTAGCTTGTACAACTGGAGAAGCAATTCTGCACTGACAAGTATTTGTGCCGACGCCGGTGCACCGACATGGCACAAGAATTAAACCTGACAGAACGCCAAGTCAAAGTCCGGTTTCAAAACCAGAGGATGAAGTGCAAAAAGGAAGAGGAACAAAGAACGTCATCTCCTACTCGGACATTCCCTTCGTCCACTCCTAGTCCAACTAGCAAATCGGGAATCCAAACGGTGAGGCCTAAATGCCATTTGGTAAAAAGGGGGCCGGATAGCCATAAAACGCTACCGAGAAACCAGAGGGAAGATAACGTTTTGTGTAACCAGTATAGTTCTTATCTACGTGTCCAAGTAGATACGAACTATCATCAACACATGCCACAGAATACATTCAACTACTATCCTGTGCACCTCGGACAACCTGTGCAGAATAAGCCATCGTATCAGCTTTACCTCAACACTCCTTCCTTGTCAACAACTACGTAACAGCCAAATCACTTTATGAAACAGTCTAACTAGTTTGTAACTTCATTGCACTTTAATGTCACTGTAAACATTTTGTACTTATACCTGCATGTGTGTTTTATAATTCGTGTAATATTTACACAGTTATTATTATTTATATAACTTACAAGCAATAAACTGGCCTTCTGTACATTATGCTCGTCTTTAAATATTCCTTTTCACTCCTAAACAAATAAACGAAATTTAAAAAAGTCTTGACTACCTTTCAAAACTCTGAAATTGTAAGAACTTTTGATAATATTTATAACATGATCATAGACTCAAAATGATGAAACTGTGCCGTAAACTGATCACAAGATTTAAAAGGGCTGGAACTTCAGAATCTGCATATAGAAAATGTCGGCTCTCAGTTTGCTCTGAAACATGCAGTCAAAATTTTAACATGTAATGTGATGGATTACAATAATCACTGTAATATACCGGGTGCTCCAAGTTCAGCCCTCAGCATTGGGACTTCGAAAACAGTAAGCGATACGAAGTTGCTTAAATGGTGGCGAAGTTGGGTATTTAGGTATCTAACAAAATGCTGCTTAGAAAGTTTCGCAATTCAAACTACTTCCTAATTTTTTTCTGAATTTATTTTTAGTGACAATTCGAAATAAATTGCACAATAACAATGCCACCTTTTTTCTTTTAGAAGATCGCGTAATTAGAATTTCAATGACCTTGTCCTCCAGCATCAACTTTATTATTTCTTATGGACGTCATCTAGGATTTTTGCACAGGTGAATAGAGATTTCAACATTGATTCTAGAAACGTATAGTACGTCATACATTGACATTGCCAAATCTTAGTTAATAAAACGGAATTTCTTAGTTACGCCTTGAAATTATCAGTTAATGAAAGATTACATATTGTCATTATCACTTTACCAGGCCTTTTCGTTCGACTTCCATTACCTACTTCGATTTTTTCAGCCCTAAATTTAGATATGTACGAGTTCCCTAGTTGGCCGCCAGGAATTTGTCGTTGGAGCGAAAATTATAAGGAAATAAAAAAGTATGGCGAAACCTGAATAAGAAAAAATGATTTGATAGCAGTAACAATAATAATCACAAATAAGCAGAGTTAAATCATAGAAGATGTTCCAAATCTTTTCCGTTATTTTGTTGGCAAGGCCTGACTCTTCTCTGTATAGGGTGACCAACTAAGAATGCGAGGCACTGTATCTGGGACTCTATACATTGTAGATGCTTGCGGCAAAAAAAGTTTTTACTAAAACGGCCAAAAGAAAAACCTGAAAATATTTTCAAGATTCTGAAATGGTCGCCAAGGGGCGTAGCTACAATCTTGAATCTAAAAAAGCGATGTTTCCGTGAATTCATTTATACTAACCTATCAAAAAATACCTGATCTTCAAAGTCGAGGAAAATGTGAACTTTTTTGTTTGACAATTTTTGATATATCTCAAAAAATAAAGTCGTGGGGGTATTCAATCGTTTCCGTACCTTCAAAACGGCGTAGCTGAACAAACTTGGGCTAGTTGAAAAGAGCCATCCTTGGGATGCAAATTTTATGATATTTGAACCTTTTTTGTTGCACATGTGGCCGCTAGGGGGCCTTTTTGACATTCCGACAGAAATGGCTAATTTTCTCAAAAAAATTATATGTATTGCTATGAATATAGGCCAAAGACAACTTTCTACGGAAGTCCCTTGAATTTTTACTTTTTTAAACTACTTCTTCTTTAATTCCCTTTCATTAATCAGAATAAAATCACCCCTTTTTGAAAATATCACAAAATATTGCTAAAAGATAAGCAAGTAATTCTAATAACAAAAAGGAACATTTTTTGCTTAAAGGCATATTCATTATGGGTATATACGAAAAAGACAATTAAAAAAAGCAGGCCACGAACTTCAGCAAAACAAATACCTAACCAAAAAAAAGTAGTCCTCAAATTGTTGATAGTTTCGCGTTACTTTGAGCAATTTTTGTGCTTACCAAATGCGTTTTATGAAGAATGAAGCTGTTGATATGCTTGCAGCTTATTTAGAATGTCTCAACATCAGGCCTGAGTATTGCTCTCAGTGGATGACCTTTGTATCGAATCGCGTGTAGTAACATGTGATGGTGATGCTGGTTTGGTGGAGTTGGTGGATTGGAAATCTATATCTACACATGGCATTGGAACCTCAATGGAAAGGTATACGTCCAGAAGGGTAATGGAAATTGGTAGAGAAAGGGGCATGCTATTGTACTCGTCCGGAAGTTGCAATGTCTAAGGATGCATAAACTCCTCGGTCACGTGAGTTGAGTTATGGAGTTCAACCATTTTCAACAAAGAGAGATTGACTCAAGGCTCGTCCATCACGGCGGAGTAGCGGGATCACCTCCAGAATAAGGTGCAGGTTGCTCCTCAAGAGGCAAGGAGTTGGGGATCCAAACGATCTCTATCAAGACCAGATACTAAAGGTGTTCCACTCTGTAACGTCGTCGGAAGTTTGCAGATAGGGAATGGGCTACACCGAGAGTTGTGGGGTGGAAAATCCGATCTCGCAAGCACTACACGAGGAATTACATGAAGCCTTAATGATCCACAATTGAAAAAAGATTAGCGAATTGAACAACAAGAACTGTCGAAGTTGAGCTATAGAAAGATGATGTTAATTTTGAAGTTCTTCAGGCTTGTTTCTGCTAGAGAAATGCGGATTCGATTTTCTGCATTGTGAGAATTGGGGAAAAAGTTTGCAAGCTGGAAGTACACCTCCAACAAATGCCCATTAGGGTGGAATAACTCTAATCTGCACCATACTCTATATATTCCATCTATCGCAGAAAGAAACCAGACCCGAACATATTCACGCAATTTCACATGATCGGATCCCGGAACGCTGGCGCTGGTATATGTCCACGACTGATTCTGAACAATAACAGTTATTCTCCCCGTTTCTTGGAAAATATCATCATGCCGCTCATGCACTGATCACGTGCTGATTGTGTGCTGGTTTAATGTCTTTCTTGGATAGACGGCTTTAGAAGCAACTACTACTGGATTACCCCCGGTATATGCGCTAGCGCAAGTCCCCTCGTACACTAGATATCCGCGCGATAGCGATGTGTCGGAAGCAATATCTGTAAAGACCACCAAGCCAGAAATACACATGTTTCGCAGAACTGTTCACTTTGATCCATCCTGAGACAAGAACATATTCTTCAATGTGTGAAATATATCTTTAAGATACCGAGGTTGTGACGCCCTCCAATTTGTTACCCCTAAATTTGTTTTCAAAAATGACCATGGCCATCTGAAACAACGAATAACAAAGTCTGCGCTATTTTTATTCCTTTCGGTTTTAGCACTCGACATATTTTCAACAGCTACGAAGCTTTTCGGTCCTTGCTATAGTTGTTACCTTGCGTAAACATTTCATCAAAATCCGAGTGGTACTTCACAAGTTATAGACGAGACAAGTATTACATCCTTGTATGATTAGGCAGTTAACCTGTTATAGTGATGCGAAAAGGATCCACAGTATAACCTCAAAGAACCGTCTAAATTTATTTCAAATGAGATAATAGGTGCATATTAGGAGAACGAGGAACTCTAATCTTCCATTAGGTTCTGAATACTCAAACCATGGTATTGGGAATACGAAAAGTAGCTACTGCTGGCAGCCGCAGTTATCTTGCAGTTTGAGAGTAAAGCCGCGTACAGACCCAGACTCCAACGCAAGCCAAGGCACATGTGGTTACAGATTTGGAGGTGTTTGAATCGGTATGTACGGCGCGAGCCAACATAAGCCAACGGTTTCCAAGGTAGCGGTGCGTTCGATTGCGTTCGCTCTTTACCGGTGTGAAGTTAGCAGCCAAATTCCAGCATACAATTTCTCGAAGTTTTTATTATATGGTTTTTGGCTGCTACCCCCTTAGAAGCCCGCTCAGAAAATTTGATCTGGCCCATAAATTCTCTTAATATATGAATAATTTTTCGAGATACTTTTCATCGAGTACACCCATTCCCTAAGGGTTGAAATCGATTTTTTATTATCTGGTTCTTGGCTGCTACCCCTTTAGAAGTTCACTCAGTAAAATTGATCTGGTCCATAGATTATCTTAATATATAAATAATTTTTCGAGATACTTTTCCTTGAGGACACCCATTCCCTAAGGGTTGAAATAGATTTTTTTATTATCTGGTTTTTGGCAGCTACCCCTCTAGAAGCTTGCTCAGTAAAATTGATCTGGCCCATAAATTGTCTTAATATATGAATAATTTTTCGAGATACTTTTCATCGAGGATATAAATTCCCTAAGGGCTAAAATCGATTTTTTTATTATCTGGTTTTTGGCTGCTACCCATTTAGAAGTTCGTACAATAAATTTGATCTGGTTCATAAATTGTCTTAATATATGAATAATTTTTCGAAATACTTTTCATCGAGGACACCCATTCGCTAAGGGTTGAAATCGATTTTTTATTATCTGGTTTTTGGTTGCTACCCATCTAGAAGTTCGCTCAGTAAATTTAATTTGAGCTATAAATTGTCTTAATATATGAATAATTTTTTGAGATACTTTTCATCCAGACACCCATTCTCTAAGGGTTGAAATCGATTTATTATTAACTGGTTTTTGGCTGCTACCCATTTAAAAGTTCGCTCAGTAAATTTGTTCTGGGCTATAAATTGTCTTAATATATGAATAATTTTTCGAGATACTTTTCATCGAGGACACCCATTCCCTAAGGGTTGAAATCGATTTTTTTATTATCTGGTTTTTGGCTGCTACCCCTTTAGAAGTTCACTCAGTAAAACTGATCTGGCCCATAAATCGTTTCAATATATGAATAATGATTCTAGATACTTTTCATTGAGGACACCCATTCCTTAAGGGTTGAAATCGATTTCTTTTTTATCTGGTTTTTGGCTGCTCCCCTTTAGAAGTTCGCTCAGTAAATTTGATCTGGCCCATAAATTGTCTTAATATATGAATAATTTTTCGAGATACTTTTAATCGAGAACACCCATTCCCTAAGGGTTGAAATCGATTTCTTATTATCTGGTTTTTGGCTGCTACCCCTTTAGAAGTTCACTCAGTAAATTTGATCTGGGCCGTAAATTATCATAATATATGAATAATTTTTCGAGATACTTTTCATCGAGGACACCCATTTCCTAAGGGTTGAAATTGATTTCTTATTATCTGGTTTTTGGCTGCTACCCCCTTAGAAGTTCACTCAGTAAATTTGATCTGGCCCGTAAATTATCTTAATATATGAATAATTTTTCGAGACACTTTTCATCGAGGACACCCATTCCCTAAGTGTTGAAATCGATTTTTTATTATCTGGCTTTTGGCTGCTACCCCTGTAGAAGCTCGCTCAGTAAATTTGATCTGGCCCGTTAATTGTCTTAATATATGAATAATTTTTCGAGATACTTTTCATCGAGTACACCCATTCCCTAAGGGTTGAAATCGGTTTTTTATTATCTGGTTTTTGGCTGCTAGCCCTTTAGAAGTTCACTCAGTAAAATTGATCTGCCCATAAATTATCTTAATATATAAATAACTTTTCGAGATACTTTTCATCGAGTACACCCATTCCCTAAGGTTTGAAATCGATTTTTTATTATCTGGTTTTTGGCTGCTACCCATTTAGAAATTCGCTCAGTAAATTTGATCTGGGCCATAAATTCTCTTAATATATGAATAATTTTTCGAGATACTTTTCGTCAAGGACACCGATTCCCTAAGGGTTAAAATCGATTTTTTGATTATCTGGTTTTTGACTGCTACCCAATTAGAAGTTCACTCAGTAAATTTGATCTGGACCGTAAACGTCTTAATATATGAATATTTTTTCGAGATACTTTTCATCGAGGACACCCATTCCCTAAGGGTTGAAATCGATTTTTTTATCATCTGGTTTTTGGCTGCTACCCATTTAGAAGTTCACTCAGTAAATTTGATCTGGACCGTGAACTGTCTTAATATATGAGTAATTTTTCGAGATACTTTTCACCGAGACACCCATTCCCTAAGGGTTGAAATTGATTTTTTATTAACTGGTTTTTGGCTGATACCCATTTAAAGGTTCGCTCAATAAATTTGATCTGGGCTATAAGTTGTCTTAATATATGAATAATTCTTCGAGGTACTTTTCATCGAGGACACCCATTCTCTTAGGGTTGAAATCGATTTTTTTATTGTCTGGTTTTTGGCTGTTACCCCTTTAGAAGTTCGCTCAGTAAATTTGATATGGCCCATAAATTGTCTGAATATGTAAGTAATTTGCCGAGGTACATTTCATTAAGGCCTTCCATTCCCTAAGTGTTGAAATCGATTTTTTATTTATCTTGGTTTGGCTGCTACCCCTAAAGGTTCTCTCAACTATTTTATTCTGGCCGTTATTGTGTCCGTAACTAGTGTTATAAGAGCGTATTATTCCTTCTGATCGACGCAACTGCTCGTTCGGGTAACTTCGGGAAATTGTCTACTGGAATTTGGCTGCTAACTTCACACTCCTTGATCGATGCATCAAAGGGAGGTTTTGATTTGATCTGGACAGGATTTGTTGCGCTGCTAGTATTTAGTCGATTGTCGTTTAACCCAACGCAGTCCAACCCGGAACTAATTTAGGTGTAGACAACGTGCAGACGAGCGCATTCGAAAACCCTCCAACAACAAACGCTAACGTCACATGTGCTTGGATTCGTTTGCTCGGAGTTGGATTGTTGGTCTGTACGTGACTGTCTCAGAAGAGGGGTTATGCTTTTAGCGACTGAGTAACTGGATAAATAATTTCTAGTGCTACAGTTTAAACGGCTTATTGGAAAGGGCTAGACAAAGCCACGAGGCAGAGTTGAAATATATAGGTACTTTGACTATCTTGAAGCAACTGAGTACGCCTAGCTGATTCCAGAATTGGGGAAAACCTCTCCAGTCTAATTGTTCCATAATTTCAGCACCTATAGGAGGTAGCAATGGTACAGGCCAGTCTTTTATTTAAAGACCGATGAAGAATGGGAAGCTGAAGCCCGGCGGGTCTGTCTAGCAGCCCTAGTGCGCGATGGAGATGAAAATGTTTGTCAAGATTGTAAATGATATTTGTTTAAGTCACAAAGGTTAGTTATTTTACAAAAAAAAATGTATGGTGACCACATTGCGATAGTACCGGATGTCGGCAGCTCACACTGTCTGAGCATTACTTTTTGATTGTATTCATGACTAAATAAAAAAATAATATAATCTTATATTAAAGATAACTAGTCCAGCTTCAATAACTCTGAGCTTTTTATACTGACGCAGATAGCAAGTAAATTAAACCTATGGTGAATCGTGGTGATCTGACTTTACAATATCCCACTTGGCGAATAAGTGCTATAACTTCAAAAATGTGATACTATGTATTTTGGGCATAGCATGAAACAATCAAGAAACAACAAAGGTAAGCTTAGATCAAATTGATCAAACATGTTCCTAGTTTTAGACTTCTGTTATTGGAATATAATACAAAAGTGCTTAGACATGCGTCTCACTAAATAAAAAAACAGCGTCGAGATGTATTTGCTGTCTTATTTAGAACTACATTTTTGTTACTTTTGATGCCGAGTGCCTCGAGACATTGTAGCGGCACATGCCCATGGAGAATACTTCGTTTTCCTTTTGCGATTTTGTCACCAATCACTTCCAGCCAGTGACTAGATGTTTGGATACTGATTCTACGGTAGTTATAAAGTTTGATAAGTTAACTTCTAATAGTTAATTTATGAGCTCCCTTCTCCTCTACAACAGCTCTACAACACTCCGACAGCAGAATGATAGTCTATGCTTTCTATTCCTCAACGAGTCACAAGCATACTCATTAAGTCGCCCCCTTCACTTATGAGGGATACCAGGAAAGAATAGTCATGAAACAAACAATTGAAACGAACAAGAATAATGAGTCAAATAGTGGCACATGCACTAACTTTATTTACAAAATTTGAGTTAATTTTGATAATTAGTTTCCACTTTATAAATCGAATTGTCAGGAAAAATTAACTCAAAGTTACAGTATTCCAGTGTCATAAAATTTCTGATAAAACAGGGACATCTTCAGTGTGTGAGTGAGTTCCGATGAGATAGTGATTCCATAAAAGACGATCCCAGAAGTGAAAGACCCATATATAGCAAACAAATGATGTAATGGCTCAAACAGTCATGCTTGTCGAACATCGTCGTATGAAGGTCTATATTATTAGCTTCGCATTGAATATAACAAAAGGTAGCGTAACGACCAACTTGCACGACAATTTGAGCATAAATAAGGTGTCAGACCTCAACAAAAATTGCGCAACCTGGAAAAACCAGAAAGTCATCTGGAAACCTTGACCAACGATCTTGATTTTTGGCACAAACTGTGATGGGCGACGGAACTAGGGTGCATCAGTCGGATTCTGATACTAAAACGGAATCCAAGCGGTGGGTCTATGAAGTGCCTCTACAACCCAACAAGGAAAATTGGCGGCAATAGCTTTTCGGGTCAACATGGGCATCTTTCCCATTAAAAGTATGCCAAAAACATACACCAGTTAACACTGAAAAATCTACGTGATCAGTCAGGAACCAATTTTCCGATCTTAGAGAAGTATTTCTGCTGCATGATATTGCGACCTTGTATAAGGCTGCCAAAATTATACGGTCCGAACTTGGCTGTGTTACGAAAGAAAAATCAACGCGGACCCCACGTTGACGATAGACTAAACGCAGCCGTCGACGAACGTTTTAAAATTACCGAAAACATTTTTTATAGTAGTATTAAAGTAAAGGAAATATACTGTGACATACAGAAAAGATGTTTCTGGCTAAAAGCCACCCTTGCTGATTATTTCATACCTACAGTGGCATCCAGTTCATAGACTTGTTAATGTTAATTTGGTGATCGCCATTTCTAAAAAAGGTATGAGATGGCGAGGACAAATTCGGTACAGATTAGGCTATGCTGCCTACCTGCACGAGAAGATAATCCGACAAAAACCGTAGTGCCGATACCAATATTCTTAGAAAAATAGGGATAAATTGTTACACACCTGAGGGGTGAATATTATTTTATTATCATGAAGATTTTACAGAAACTTATACCCAAAAATTAACAGATATACCTATTTGCACAGAATACTGACACATAGTGATAACAATGATAGCCTAATACACAGCAGATACCTGCAGAAGGCTTGCACCAGTGGCATTAACGGATATACAGAGTGCCCTAGGAGTTGGGAAACACTGCGTTTGTAACGCTAAAGCTAATGTGCGCTAAAAAATAACAAAAGAGTGAAAAAGGAATTGAAGAAAAGTGCTCACTGCAGAAATTTGAAGTTCGTCAACTTCTTCTTAAATTTTCGACATTTGGGGCTATGAAAGAAGGCCTTTTACTGAGTCTACGATCTAAATAGTCCACTCACCGTAAGGCGTCATCAAATCAACAACTCCGTTATTTCAAAGGGGATGTGACAATTCCAGTTTTTTCCCAGATCAATTTGTAAATAAACAGCTAGTCTGACGGGCAGCACCTGATGTAGATCGCACAGCCCCAATATTATATTTTGTTTCGAAACTTAGTAGCTGGCATCTTGAAGTTTTAGTATATGTATTTCTATGCAAATATGCTTACTATTACATGAACTACGAGTATATTCATTTAGGTACGGACGGCCTGTATGTCTTTGGTTAGGTAATGCGTCAGAGATAACACTTTGTTGCATGAATTCGTTCATTTCAGTAATACTAACAGTTGAAAGATCGATCATGAGATCGCTTTAAGCTCTTTGCTACCCCTCCATTTAAGGTTCCCACTTGGCGACAGCTTGACTTTAGAAAGAAGGTATAGTCGAGTCCAAAGTTGTTGTCTTCTCAGGCAATAACCTACCTAACTATTATATTGAATTCATTTACCCCCCTACTGAGCGAGGGCCGTGGCAAATGCTTGTTCCGGAAGTTGTTGTATCCAGTATACAACTTCTTCCCGTCCAAGTGATTGTGCACGCGTTAAGGAACACCTCAGTACCGATTGCCGGGTGGCGGTACAAGTCCGCCAACGGGCCACTTTAGGTCTATTTAACATCACTAACACGTAAAAAGAAGGTGGTAGACCAGGACCAGTCGACCGAGGCAGTACCACCCGCTAGCTTTTCCCAGGGTGACTTATAAATGTCCGCATGTGTCCACACCTAAGCTATGCAGTCGGTTATCTACCAAAACAAAGAAATTAATGATGATGGATCCCTCGAGCACTAAAAACTCCGGACGTAAACTCACTCCACTCTCGGAATGTCCGGGTGGAGGGTGGGCTCGAGGGAACAACATCGAAGATAAAATTTGTTTTTCGAACATCTGCGGGATCAACAGCATCATTGATGCTGTTCATCACTACCTGCAATCCAATCGTCCCGCCGTGCTTTTCTTGGCGGAGACAAAAATCTCAGAGACTGCACCGATTAACCATCTCAACTTCCCAAACTACGAGGTGCACTCCAATCTGAGAAAGAACGGGGGAGTTGTGGCTTTTGTCCGCAGCAGTTTTTCCTCCTCCAGGGATCTTTCTTTGGAATCAGACCGGAAGGACATTCTGTGGCTTCGCCTCAACTCCAAAACATCACCCAAGTTTATTTGCTGCCTTTATCGCTCCCCCTCGGACCATAACTGGGATGACCTAACCGAATACCTCGCCGTCCAGATCGACTTCCTGAACATCAATCATCCCGCTTCAGAGGTAGTTCTTCTCGGTGATTTCAATTCCCATAACGAGCTTTGGTTGGGCTCAAACAAGACCGACGCAGCAGGTCGTGCAGTCGAAGCGTTCGCTCTTACCCAATGGCTGACTCAGCTGGTGACGAGTCCTACTTTTTCCCCCCGCGTCTCGTCACACGCCAGTAGCCTGCTGGATCTCTTTCTGACCACGCATCCTGCCCCTTACAGCACTGCTGTCCTGTCCCCTCTGGGTAACTCAGATCACGGTGTTGTGGAGGTTAAGTTTCGGTCAGAAGCCGCTGTCGCAGCAGAAACTCGCACAGGCCGCAAAACTTGGCATTACGGACATGCCGACTGGGAGGGGCTCAGAGACTTCTTCTCTAGCTTTCGTTGGAGAGATGTCTGTTTCACTGACTCGGATGCGTCGACTGTCTGTTCTTCAATAACCGAAATTATCCACGTCGGAATGGAGGAATACATCCCTCACACAGTAAAAGTTCCTAAACCAGGATCCAACGGCTGATTCAAGAAATCGTGTGACACTGCTCGCCAGCAGAAGATCAAGGCCCACAGAACCTACTTACAAAACCCCACTGTAGAGAACAGACAAGCCGACGTCGAGTCCAGAAACAAATATAACGAAGCGGTTCGCAATGCCAAAAACCAGCATGATATAAAAGTTAGGCACAGGGTAATGTCGCAGCGCAATGGCAGTCGGTCTTTCTGGACGCTGGTCAAGCAGATTGAAAAGAACTTCTCACACAGTAGCCTTCCACCACTTACGTGTCAGGATGGAACTATTGTATTCGACTCAAAGGCCAAGACGGAAGTGCTAGCTAAGATATTTGCTGCCAACTCCACCATGGACGTCCCCACCAACGCCCAAGTGCCGTCAATTCAAAGGGTTCCCCACACTATGCGGGAGGTAACATTCAGGCATAAGACCGTAAGACGAGTGCTCTTGTCGCTCGACATCAACAAAGCTTCTGGTCCGGACTTGATTCCTGCCATTATACTGAAGAGATGTGCAGCGGAGCTTGCTCCAGTTCTTTCGCGTCTCTTCCAGATATCTTATGAATCCGGCACCTTCCCAGAAAACTGGAAATTTGCTCATGTATAGCCCATCCCACAAAAAGGATCTAAAACCGACCCTTACAACTACAGGCCTATAGCTCTGCTTTCTGTTATAAGTAAAGTGATGGAGAGGTGCATAAATCGCGAGCTTCTGGACTACCTCGAACGTCACAGCTTGATTAGCGACAGGCAGTACGGTTTCCGGCACCAACGATCCACAGGGGACCTCCTAGCTTACGTCACGCAACTGTGGAGTAAACTGATCCAGTCTCATGGTGAGGCTCATGTCGTTGCTCTTGACATCACGAAAGCGTTCGATCAGCTGTGGCACGCTGCCCTCTTAAGCAAACTTCCATCCTACGGCCTCCCAGAAAAGCTTTGTAGATGGGATATCCGTCGTAATTGACGGATACTCCTCTTCATCCCACAACGTCAACGCGGGTGTTCCCCAGGGATCGGTCTTGGCTCCAACACTGTTTCTCTTACATATCAACGACCTCCTTTCCTTCACGATCAACCCAATCCACAGCTTCGCTGATGACAGCACTCTACATGCAGGAATTCAGAGTGACAAGCCGATCTCTGCCGATGAGCTGGAAAAAAGAAGATTAGCGACGACTTCTTCTCTGACAAGAGACCTGGAGGCTATCACTGCTTGGGGACGCAACAATCTTGTACAGTTCAATGCTTCCAAAACACAGTACTGTACTTTGACGAACAAAAAGCGCTCATACAGTTTCGATGGACGGTCGAGTTCTACCAAAGAGCCATTCATTTCGGCTGGTCGGAGTCCAGATCACCGAGGACCTGATCTGGCACGAACACATCTCTTCAATAGCTGCAACTGCTGGGAAAAAGCTAGGCTATTTGTTTAGGGCTAAGAAGTACTTTCCTCCGCATGACCTTCTCACTCTATACAAGGCCCAGATAAGGCCTAGCCTCGAGTATTGCTCACACATTTGGGGTGCTGCCGCCCCGACTACATTGTCCATGCTCGATGCTGTCCAGAGGAGGGCGGTCCGACTGATCGATGACTCTTCTCTAACAGACAGTGTCGGGACTCTTTCGCACCGGCGGGCCGTCGGCGATCTGGCTCTTTTCTATCGCTACACCAACGGGCTTTGCTCCTCAGAGCTCTCTTCCATGAGGCCGCCGCGCGATGTGCCTGCCAGACAGACCCGCCTGACTTCGGCGTCCCATCCTAACCGTGTCAAACTTCGTACATCCAGAACTGGCCGATACGAGCGCACCTTTGTCCCGAGGGTGTCTAGATTGTGGAACAATCGACGGGAGGAGGCTTTTCCCAGTTCTGCTAACCTTAGGCAGTTCAAAAATCGTATTAACAAAATTTCTTTGGGATCATCATAGCAGCCGCGGTGTTCCGGCATTTAGGCTTCTGCCTGCGGGGCTGTTTCGATATAAAAAAAAATCTTATTGTGTAGATCATGATGAAATCAATCACATTTATGTATGAGGGACCATTCACTATTGACAGACACTTCATACTGCTTGGTTCCTGTGTCGCAACAAAAGTATAGAAAAGGAATAATATGTATTTTGCAAGGTTTGTTAATTATATTTTTCAATAAGCTGTTTGCCAAAATTTGTATTTGTCGGTATTTCTGGACGTTGGTTAAGCAAGATGGAAGGAATTTAGAACCTCTACTCTCCTGAAATGCGTGCTGTACAGTTACCATTGAAAAATGTTGAGCATCAGTAATGGAAACTTGACTATTAACTCTCAGGTAGCCGTTCGATAGATCCACTCGTTAATTCAGTTTATCTAGTAGTACGAAGAATCAAAATCTCTTTTGATGTCGAATATTTTGTAAGATGTATTTTTCTAGGCAGTCAGCATGCCTTTAATCCAAGTAACGACGATATGCGGAGGTAAAACATCAGCACCGGACATTAAAAGTAACACTTTGATAGATTGCTCCGTTGTAGATCACTTCACATCAGATTCCTCTAAAATCTCTACTGAATTCTGAAAAGTAAAAGGTAGTTTTGGAGAACGGATGCCGTTATACGTATGTTTTACAGACCTTAATTTCACCTAACTTGTTTGTTCGTATACTAGTATGTATGGGACAAACCTCGAAACTGAATTTTGACCTCAAAAAACTAAGCTGAAATTTCACTTACATCTACGACAAAAAAATGCCTCACAATCAAACCGAGACCAAGTTTCCTCAGGCGCAAGTAAGATCCAACCTGAAATAAGCGGAATATCAGGTCCAAGTAATGCCCAGACTGATATAATCGACGCAAATTCACAATACCAGCGTCTCGATATAAGTGGTAAAATGTAATACATACAGTTATTTATTTATATTTATTATAATTGAAAACACATGTGTCCAAAAACCAGTTTTTATTATTTGTTAACCCGAAACAAAAATTCAGCAAAATTTTTTTCCAATCGGAAGTATGGCGTTTTATACTTCTTAACGTTTAAACCATAGTCAAGTGTCAAGTTTTCAAATAAAACCGTATCACATTCTTTTTTCCTCTTGATATTAAAAGGTAATACGCTTTTCTGAAAACTTGAGACAAAGAGGCGTTTTAACGTTAAGAAGGATAAAACGTTATATTTCCAATCGAAAAAAGATTGTCAATTTTCAGTTCGTTTTAACAGTTAAATAAAAGCATGTTTTGAAAAATATATTTTCTTATTTTATTTATTAAGACACAGCGTTTATATTGTGCCACACAGTACTGTATGCCCTTTCAATTTTGTGGCAACCTGTGTAGACAATCAAGTACTAAAGGTACTACAACAAAACATGAATTTACCTTGAAAATAACAAAAAAGCCAGTGAACTGTTTTGACAGCCGCTAAAAAATACTTTTTTACCAATTTTGTCATCCATTACACCATTACAAAACCAGTACCTCCATGGTGACCTAGCCTGTCGCCAGTCGCCGTCACCGTATAATGCTGTTGTGCCTGTTGCTGACTACGGGGATGAAAACTACTGTTTTCTATCTGGTGGAGACGCTTGCCCGAAGAACAATAATGTGGAAAACAACTTTCTGGAGAGTAGATGGCAAATTTATTTGTTGTATTTGGACTTAGGGGGCACAACGAAATAAGGCTGTTCAAAGTGCCATCTATTACCGGTATCGACCACTTTGTGCAGTCTTATTTCGATAGTGGTATTTTACTTCAAATAGTATAACTAATAGTATTTTTTTCTACAATCAGAATCTACAAGTCAACCAGCAACAAACGAAATAGGCAAACGACCAGCAACAAAGTTATTCAATTTCATCATAAGAGGTCCAAGTTGCGTTCCAGGGGAAACGGCTCTTCAGCTTTGACATGCCCTATAAATCAACAGGTGAGTCATCATTATAACGCTAAGCAATACCAACTTAAACACTATTTAACCCACTATACCTATAGACAAATTCAAGATCAACAAAAATGTACATGAGCTTGACAACTTCATGCGCAACTTGATAGTTAATGAAAATACGCAGTGCTATCCAGTAGGTTAACTCACCCATAATATAGATGTATTTTCTAAATCATCTTCCATAAAATAATAATTTTTTTGGGATTGCTTCTAAGAACATTACTGTGTGACCGATTTTCCAAAATATAGCAACCCAAACAGTAGAGATTGCTTGCTTCACAAAAATTTACTAAAATTGGCGCACCGGTTGCTGAGATTACGCGAGCAGACTGGCTGTAGGTGGCTAGAATTTTTATGGTACAGTCATCTCAAAGCGCTAATCAGCCTATTGTTCTAAACAAATAAAATGTGTATTTTTCGGATATCACAATGTATTCTAAACAAACTCAAAGTCATTTCGGTTTCTTCCAGATGCTTCCAAGTCTAAGCGAGTCAGGAGAGCCTACACTCCATACCAACTTCTAGAGGTGGAGAAGCAATTCGATACTAATACGTACCTGAGCCGAGCAGGGCGCATCCAAGTGTCAGATGAGTTGGACCTGGTGGAACGTCAAATAAAGGGCCTTGTTCCAAAATCGAAGGATGAAGTACAAGATAACATAATTAATGGCTTTGTTACACAGTATTTCCTTTCTCAAAATTTGCCGAACTATTGGATAATATGTCAATGTGAACTACATACTTTGTATTACAGCTGACCAAACCTAGTAAGCGTTTTGTCAAAGGGATGCACAATTTTACTGAAGATGTTGATGCCTTATACAATTTCAGGAAAGATGTGTATATTTGGTAGAATTTTTTAATTATCGAGGACCCTTTAGTATAGAAAACATTAATTTGAAGTTGTCGATAAACCTAATAATGAGTGTATCAATGATATTCAGCGCAGAAGTGCTTTTGCTTCCTGAATGCACCTAGTGTCTTTGTGAGAATTTTTTAGTACTTATACATTTACGTGTTTTCTTATTTGTTTATTTATGCAAGTTTCATGCAATAAATTGTCTTCTTTTGTAAGCTATGCTCATCTTCAAGTATACCTTTCCACACCAAATCCAGATTCGGAACCAAAATGCAATTAAGTATGGCTGGTATGGTGTATGGCTTGACCAAGATCTGAAAATGATTGAAAATATAAGGCGCTACAGTGACAAGGTGAATAAGGTCGTTGTATTTTTGACATGACTAATGTCCAGTGGTGAGAGGCGCAGGATTTTGGCAGGGGTGTTAAATTCGATTATGCTGTACGGAGCCCCTATATGTATAACAAGGCCAAAAAGTAGCGATGCGCGTGGCATGCGCTTACAGAACGGTGTTAATCGGTGCACTGCTGGGGGTGGCTGGTATCCCGCCAAGCTACAAGAGTTGAAAGAGAGGTGCTCCTTGTCAGACGGCATGGGATACAACTGGCCATGGTGCATGCACCAGAAGGCTGATCCTAGATATTAAAACCGAACAGTTCCTCACAGGACATGGTTATATTATTTTCTTCAATTGATATGTGGTACTGGGAGTTTTTTCCTATAAACCTCTTGCAGATAGCCATTAAGCACCTACTTGATGACAAAAGATATTGCTCGTTTCCAAACATTCATTCATTTACTTGCCGTTCCTCAGAACCACAATGGCACCTTAGATTGATATTCCCACAAAACCGTTCAGGTTTTTTGATACCCATATATCCATAAGGTTGAATATTTTTCGTTGTTCAGGAACTGAACAAACATCCACACTATATTCACAGCGATTAATAAATTCCCAAATATACGCCTTAATGCTACCATCAAACCTAAAACCTGCAAAAAAAACTACAAATTTGCCATATTTTTTTCACGAGTACACATTCTAGGTTATATTTATATTAGACATTATTTGAATACAGCTGATTATTGCATTTCAAGGAGTGACACATGTGTGGCATCTGTCAACTCTTGGTACCAGTCACAAAACATATACTCTGAAGGTTTAATTCCATGCTATTCAATGACCGCACGGTGACTTGTGTGGTTATCAGGGGCCATTTTGTGAGGGTGCGACAGGGTTGCCAGATTGTGCATTAATATCCCGTTTCACCTTCCTGGTCCCAGTGGAGTAAGTTCCGCCAACTGTTGAAATATGCTCTACTACGCTTTATAAGACTATTCGTGACATTTTTCAAAAAATCATTGCACAACACTTGAAAAAATGCAAATGAAAATTTAAAATTATTTCCTTGACGCCGCAATATAGCTCCGTCGGTACCTTGGGTTATACATCTTGACAGTAGGGATGTTCGATACGATCCTATATTTAGAAGTATCAATACATTTCACGAGTATCGTCATCTTTCGATCCGGACTGTGTCAGAAAGAGTGACTGCCATTTGGCTGCGACATTACCCTGCCAAATCAAACATATCTTTCATCATTTTCAAAGAAATTGTACAAAATCTTCAAATTTGTGAAGATAGCGAGTTTCACTTCATACGTTGTTACCAGCCATGCCCAAATCATCAGTTGCTGCCGTGATATTCATCCCGACCACTGCATCCCCACGGCTAGGCGACCTGTATGTTAAATTTGTATTGGTAGGGCAGCGGGTTATGCTATAAATCGTATGTCACAGTGTTTCTGCACTGATTGCAACGGTTAGATGATACCAAAAATATGTTCATAAATAGGAGATCTTTCCCATTCCGGATCGAACAATCTACCAAAGAGGCTTATAATCATGATACCTGGTAAATTTTCACGAAAACAATTCAAAACTAGCAAATGTAAAAGATTCATTTCGCACCCTCCACCACGGGACGTGATCGTCGTTAGACTTGGCAACCCTGCGAGTGTCAGATAGATATCCCCACCAGTCAAAAAAGAAAAATAGAGAAACAATGAACATTACTAGTTTTTTTGATTTTTGGACTTAAAAGCCATTATCTGTGAAACATTTTTCATAATTTTTTGTCTATGTCCATAGTAATTGCATTATGCATCAGGGATTGACACGTCTTACACATATTATCTGTGTTTTAGGATGGAGAGGACATAATGTTTTTATTGCTTTGAAGAAATTCATTAACCCATAAATTAATAAATGATTACTATTACGACGTAAAGGAAGTTGAGGAATTGGATGGAATGTATTTTATATTCTATTTTCTTGCAAAATACAGACAAATCCACACTATTCAACAGGTATGTAATGATAACTTTCAGTATATTGAAGTTGGTAAATTCGAGAGTGCCATGCATTAACAAACGTCCCAATCTGCTGCCAATTTAACAGCTAGAAAATCGAACTATTATTTGCCGCATTCCCATTCGCTGAAGGGGATAACGGATTGTTAAATATAAACCTATAAAATATATCAAAATAAATAAAAGTTGTCCTGTTTTTTCTGTACAAAAGCATCATGTTGGAAAAAGTGGTCTTGTTTATAATACAGTCGAATTTTCACGATTTTATTCAATATTTCAATAGAAATCACTGATATTCAGAGACCTTTGACAGCTTCCGTCAAATTGTATTTCGATAAGGTATTTTCCCTTTGGTCCATAATATTAATGTTGGTGAGATTGGCCCTAAGGATCCAATAGTTGATATCTCTATATTACTTACATATGTATGAAAGCATGTATGTGTATGATAGAGTACAGATTACTGATACCTTCGATATGAGAACCTGGCGTAACGCTACCCACTATGAAGAAATGCTGCAAGCATCACCGTGGTGGGACGTGTGGTCAATGACTGCGTGGTTTTAGTGAATATGCCATTCCTGGAGAATCTCACACTTCGGGCAGGAAGGGCCGGTAAGGCAATACTGTCGAACGTTTCTGCTTGAGAGTGGGTATAAAAGCGTTCCCCTGTAAAAAAGACTCCTAAGCAAATAAACGAGTCAATCATGCTGACTCAATGCTCACTTCGCATGAACCTATATATCAGCTTTTAAATTGACAACAACATACGAATTCAAAAATTTATAAGTACCTCTCCTAGCTCCAGGTACAGAAATTCTTTGTGTAGTCTATAACATAATCGTTTGCGTCACTTTCCTATAATATTTTTCCCGCGCCATTCTTTCCTTACACTTGCTAGTTAGAAAAGAAGAGAGGGTTACGTGGTAAGACCGCATGCTAGGTTAATTCCCCATGGTAGGTCGCATTATATGTTGATTTTCCGCATTTTCTTCACCGCATCAACAACCGCAAGACATCCCTGGGAGGTCTTCCCCAGTTGCAGCAATAGTCTTTTCCGCACCCGGCATCCTGCAGGTCCTTCGAACATATCATTTATTTGTCTTATCCATATCCTATCGTCCCCATCAATCGTTAATATCTTGGTCTGACAAAACAGGCGTTAACATCTTGTTGGTCTCATGCGAGTCGGATTATTGAACCGACGCATATTTATTTATTCATTCGCAGAATTTACGAGCCAACCGTATTCCTTCGCTTTCGCCATTATAGATTTTGCCATTTCACTTTGTGAACATCGTTATATCCTTTTAACGCACCATATCTCACAATACGGAACAGAAAACTCAAATATTAAAATCGTACAGAGTTATTTTGAGCGTGTTCAGAGCTATTGTAAGTAGCTCTAGGTCTCTAAGCAAGTAGGCCTGTAAAGAAAATTTCCTCGCTGATATTGCATCTCTAGACCTTATCAGAGAAAATTTTCTTCAAACCGTAGACGGGATCAGTGGCTTATAGACATGTCTTATAACATTATGGTATTGGGGAATCTTCCGAAAGTACTAGTTGCTCAAGAAAAAATCGTCAGATCAATATTCATTTAGGGTTATCATTCAAAAACTGGAAAGCAACTCATACAGCAAGATTAAAATTTTTCTCGTTAATAGGCATGACTGTCCGCAGCCCAATAAGATGCAACGTGTATATGGATTATGATCCCAAGTTTTTCTATTGTGTTTCAAGGCAATTAGAATGGGTGAAATGTATTGATTTAGAGCTCGCATTGGACATTCTGGATTTGTATCTTTATAGGGTGCTCCAAATTCGAGGCGCCAACATCCGAAGTTGTAGCTTAAAGGCAGTCATGCTTGCTTACTATACAATTTAGACTACGGAGTGAAACCTAGAATTTATTATTGTGGCATTATTGGGCGTCGCCTACAATTCTACTAAACGCGGTTCACTAATATAACCTTTAGAAGACAAAATATAGCACCTGGCAGACCTTAACATTGTTGTTCATACCAACTGTCTGCACTTCTCTTGGAAGACATATCGGTAGACGCTATGAATACGAAAGTTAAGCAGGCGGGAGCAAAATTGATTATCTAGTCAGATATTTACTTTTCTATTAATGTATACATATATTAAGTTATTTAGTAACATCCAACAGCTAAAGCCAATTACAGGGTGGATACACATGAGCATAAAAAACAAATCAGGATACGAAATGAGGAAAAATATTGGTGGAGTTGAGATTAGAGCCCCAGCCATATATCTACACTTTGCCCTGCTTGTTTTGTTTTTGCATACCCAAAGTCGCCAAAATGAAGGTCCTTCTTCGGAAGTCTAGCTTCGATTTCAGTGACTCTTTTTTATAATTATCGTTTTTTCATATTATTAGAGATTGTTGGAGGGGAAAAATAACTGTTTATATTATAAAAGCAATAGATATCTATCCAGACTCCGAAGGGACGGTACTACAAATCGGTTTTACTCAACTTTTGAACAATACTTTTTTACTG